TGGTACAGTTACTATGGAAACTGTGATGGTCTATGAACAACCTAAAAATAGAACTACCTTGTGATACCACAGTCCCTCTTGTGTGTATATATCCAAAGGAATTGAAATTAGGATCTTGCAGAGATAGCTTCAGGCTCACATCCACGGTAGTGCTACTTACAATAGCCAAGAGATGATTAAATATCTACTAAGTAAATGGATAAAGAAAAAATGTGCTATATACATTTAACGGAATATTATTCAGTTTTTTTATTACTCAGTTTTGTAAAAGAAATCTCATCATAAGCAATGAACTTGGAGGACATTATACTTAATAAAATAAGACAAATATAGAAGGACAAATGTCACATGATTCCACTTGCATGTATTTATCTAAAATTGTCAGACAGGGCCTCCCCGGTGGCGCAGCAGTTGAGCTCTGGGTTGCAAAGCTGCCCGCAGCCTCTGCAACGCCGGTTCGATCCCCAGCTGCTCCCCGTCCACTTGAGGAGGGTCCCACATGGCGCGCAGAATTCTCCTGCCGCCCGCTGCTCCCCTCAGCAGTGTACTTTGGTCCTTCTGCCTGTTCTGCTCCCCGCTCTGGCTCTGGTGAATTCTCTCACCCTCCCGCGCTTCTGACTGTACCCCAGTGTTTGTATAAATAAATAAATAAATAAATAAATAAATAAATAAACAAATAAATAGAATTTAAAAAAAAAAATTGTCAGAGAGATAGAATAGAATGGTGAGTCCCAAGGACCTGGGGTAGTAGGGATAGGGAGTAGCTGTTCAAAGAGTCTAAAGTCTTAGTGATGTAAGATGGGTATATTCTAGAGATTTGCCTTGCACTCTTGTGCCTGTGGTTAACTTTACTGTACACTTAAATTTTTGTTAAGTGGGTTGATCTTACAATAAAATTGGACTTTCAGTGGAGAACGTAATGTAGTATGCATACATGTTGTTTTTTAATGAATTATTTCTGAAACTTATGTTACAATGCGATGTCAGTTCAGTTAAAGATAATGCAAAAAAATAAACATTTATTGGGATAACTGATGATAATTTATATTATATAATGAAGTTATTTACCAAAAAAAGTAATGCCATCTGTCACAGTACTATTAGCGTGATTCATATTACTTAATAACTAAATATCTATTGGCTTAACTTTGTTTTCTGAGGTTGTATCTCTATAGGCCTGATAGATTCTTTTAGGAGTACTTTTTAACTCAGAGGCAGTTTCTATAAGCAGTATTTGCTAGAAAAAGTTAATGTGCACTTTCTGGAGGGCAATTTAAATCTAAAAATTTTACATATTTTCTATGATAGTTTAAATCTAGTCATCTGTCTCCTAAAAACAAAAAATATACAGTAAACAAAATTGCCCTAAAAATTTCAAAATTAAAGTCTTATCATGTTTGGAGTTCTCATATGACAGTTTACTCGATTGCTCCCTTGTTTAGTAAGTAGAGATTCAATGCCTCACTGGGTTTGCAAATTTCACTTTTAATAATTTCTCATTCCTGTTGCCTTAAAATATGGAAGTGTTCAGCAATTTATTTTGGACAAGAGCAGCCAAAATATAAAGGTTTTTCAAAAAATGTAAAATGAAATCAATGACAGCAATAAAGATAACAATTTCACTGAATTATTTTTCATGTGTATTCACTATAAGCTTATGACAGAAAAGAATTTACATTTCAGTCACTCTCTTTGTATATTAAAACAATGTAACAACTGTTTTAATTAAGAAAATACAGTCTTGAAAATAAAAACCAGAAATTATTGTTTAACTGTTTAAAAAGTAAGACTAAACTGAAAAAAAATGCAGTCTTTGGAAAATTTATTAAAGTACATGTCTACAAATGAAAATATGTACATTTTCAATATTTAGACAATAGGTTATATATATATATATATTTTTTTTTTTATGGTGAAAAATTGTATTTAGAATTAGCCAGCTGGAGTCAGTTTAGATGATCCCAATTTTGTTGGCAACATCCAAAGCATCATAGTCAGGAGCCAGTCGAACATAGGCCTTCTTTTCTCCATCAGGTCTGATCAGGGTATTGACCTTTGCCACATCAATGTCATAGAGCTTCTTCACAGCCTGTTTGATCTGGTGCTTGTTGGCCTTGACATCCACAGTGAACACAAGTGTGTTGTATTCTATTTTCTTCATGGCTGACTCAGTGGTAAGAGGGAACTTGATGATGGCATAGTGGTTAAGCTTGTTTCTCCTGGGAGCGCTCTTCTGTGGATATTTGGGTTGCCTTCGGAGTCGCAATGTCTTGGGCCTCCGAAAAGTGGGTGAAGTGCGGATTTTCTTTTTCTTATGGCTGTGGACGCCTTTCAGCACTGCTTTCTTGGCCTTCAAAGCTTTTGCCTTGGCCTCGGATTTGGGAGGGGCAGGGGCTTCCTTGTTTGCTTTCGGTGCCATCTTCATGAAAAGCGACAATAGGTTATTTTAATGGACATGAGCATAATTTACTTTGTAAAAGTTACTCTGAAAATGAATTTTCAAATAGAAACATTTTTATCTAATGTTTATAAAAAATATCTTAAAACATTTAAAAATAATTGAAAAAGGAAAAAAGGAATACAAAGAGTCCAAGGGAAAGTACCCCAAGTAAAGAAATATGTTTATCTCTAAGAGAGCACCACAGGCCTGTAGTAAGGACTTCATGCCACTTGTTTCTCTACTGATCATGATTTAATCCTAGAAAAAGAACAGGGGACGGGGCGGCTGCCTTCGGTGATAGGAGACTCCAAGCTTTTCTTACTTCGCCAGCCACGTATGTGAAATAAAAGTGAACCCAAAGATTCTTTTTTTATTTTAAACACTGCACAGTATTACTTTTTTATTTTCAAGATACTGCAGTGACTTGCAGTATCAAACCATTTGTCCAAATATGTAACAACCAACATTAAAACGCACATAATTACCCTCTAGCACCAACATTGAAGTTGAAGAAATGTACACTTCAACAAGTTTCATGTAAAGAATATCTGGCCCCCCAATGCTCAATCTTTCTCAATTTTGAACCCAAGATTCTTAAACTCAAAAATTTTAGCAGATTCATTCATCACATCCAAAGCTTCCAAACATCTTGGATTTAAAATGCGTTCAATGTGAACAGTGACCCCCGGGAACTGTTTAATGCAGCAAACTTCCTGACGCTCCTGTGATTGTAGGAGGTAAAATTGAATGGGGGTGGGGGTGTGGCGTGTGCATGTGCATGTGCACACTTGTGTCTCGCACTCCCTCTGGTGGTTGGAGTGTGTGACTAATAAAACTTAATTTTCAAACTTAAAAGGATCAAGAACTTCCTTATGGTATCTAACTATGAAAACAATAGAGTGATTAGGTATTTGAAAGGCAGGGCATAAGATTTCTAGTAGTGAAGTCTAAGCTTGGTAAATTACAGGATTAAGAATGGATTTTCAGTGTGTTACTAAAATGGATTTATTATTCGAATCTTTGCCCCACCATGTTCAGTTGATTATATTGAAAAACTTGGGGTTATATTTCTAAATATAATAGTATCTAGAGATTTTTTTCTAATATACACTTAGAGTGTTTTTTTCAAACACTCTAAGAATTTTAATATCATCTTTTTTTCTGTATTATGTAGGGCTTATATTGCATCACACATATGTAACACTGCCTCAGATGTTTCATTACTTAGAGAACATTTGCATGACCTGGAAGGGATGGGATAGTTTTTAAGAGCATTGAAATCATTTCATATTTTCAGATACACTCAATTGTATGAATTGATGCTGTCTGAATTCTGTCTGACTTCTGTGCCTCAGGGAGTCCTGGAAGCTCAGAATAGGTGACACACTACTGGACAGAGTGATTCAGAGTTCATTTATATTGGTTGGAGAATATTGGTTGGAGATGGTGGGCACCTATGGGAAACACCAGGGTGGGGATAATGGTATGTTTTTTTTTATCTCAGCTAATTCTATGACCTTAACCATGATTAATATATTTAATGTTTCTATAAATTACATTTATAGTTTATTTCTCTTACCTACACTTCAAATAATATTGATAGTTCATCTGAAAACTTAGATATCCCACAGGAACTTACAATTCAATTGGTCTAACACCAACATGCCCTTATGTTTCTTTTCTCATCAAGTATCTCCACCTCAGCCATTGATAGGCAGAGGCTTGATAACATCCTGAGCCTTGGTTCTTTTTCCCTCATATCTCACATCGCATTTACTTGACGTGGTTAATAGAGGTGAAAACCACTATTAACTTTCTTGAAATAGTCAAGAGCATGTAGCAAAAAGTTAAAGTTCTGTAACTTTATGTATCTCACTGAAAGTAGTGATGCTTGATTATCTATTACTTTATTTAGAGCTGGAAACAGTGAGGCTCAGATAAGTTGTGATGTGGCCAAAGTCATCTGCAAGATAAATTGATTTAGCTAAGACTAGATTTGGAGACCTCTGAATCCCATGGGTGACTTTCCATGGTTTTAAGATGTGAATATACACTCTGATATGAGCACTGCTCATGCTCTTGACACAGTCTAAAGTTTCTAGCACACCAACATGCTGCCTATCCTTGCAGAATGAATAGACTGAAGAAAAGTTGTATCATGTCCTGAACACTAACGTCAATTTTCCTTAGTATCAAGGAGCTGATTCTGTTCACTGTCTCTGTCAACACTTCTTTTACCTTTTTGTTCCTCAAACTATAAATAAAAGGGTTTAGAAGAGGGGTCACAACCGTAATGAGGACAGCAGCTACCTTGTCAAAATCCAGTGAATAGTTCTGATTGGGTCTTACATACACAAAGATGTTGCTTCCATAAGCAATGGAGACAACAGTGATGTGAGAAGCTTGGGTGGAGAAGACTTTCTGGCGTCCCTGGAAGGGATGCTCAGGATGGTTGAAATGATGTAGGTGTAGGACCCAGTAGTGAATGCCAGGGAACTCAGGATGATAAGGGCATATAGGAGAAAGTTTATGTTCTCAATGAGGTGTCTATATAGGCAACCTTTAGAAGAGGGATGAGGCCACAGAAAAAAATGATTAATTTCTTTGTTACAGTAAGGTATCCTTGTCACTACAATGGTTGGTACCAACATGGACAGGAAGGCCCCCACCCAGAAGCCCAGGATCAGCAGAAGGCAGGTCCTGCTGTTCATGGTGAGGGTGTATCTCAGTGGGTTACAGATGGCCACTTAGCACTTGAAGGACATCACTGCCAAGAGGATAAACACTGTCCCCAGAAAGAAATAGAAGTAGGTTTGGATGATGCAGCCAGGGAAAGATGTGGTCTTATTCTCTCCTAGGAGGCAAGCCAGCGACTTTGGGGTGGTGACAGTGATTTATAAAATATCCACAAATGACACATTACTGAGGAAAAAGTACATGGGGGTTTGTAGGCGATTATCAGTCCATATTAGGAAGATGATGATGATGTTTTTTGTTGTTGTTAATGTGTAAGTGAGCAAGAGAACTACAAAGAGGAAATTCGAAGTTCCAGGAGAACTGGGGAGGCAATCAGCATGAATTCAGTCACTGTGCTCCAATTTCCCAGGGCTGTGACTGCATGGTGGGCAGGGTGTCCTTGAAACAAGAACAGGAAAATCAGCCTAAGAGGTTATTTTGTAAATACATCTGTTGAAAATGGATTGTGGAGAACGCCTTATGTCTTCTATCTAAAAGTCATTATTATGCAATCTTCAGGAAGTCAAAATACCATTTAGACAGAACTTTTCTATAAAACGAAGAGATAAGGCTGAATTAAAACCTTTAAACTTCCTTCTCATTGTATGAAACTTCCCTTTTAAAATTTCCAGCTTCATTTTCCTACATGGAAATGTGCTAATATTCTGACTCATACTTTAATTAGAACTCCTTTCTATTATTCTGATTTTACAGTGACTGAGGGAAATCCTTTTAAATATTTTCTAGTTTTTTGATGACAGATTTTATTTCATGTTGGCAGTTGATATTAGTTACCTGCCATGAGTAAGAGATAAAGGTTGATTTCTTTTTTCCTGATATTTGGTGTTCCAACTCCAGAGTGTTCCAATTTTTAAGGTCTTTTCCTAAACGTATATTTATCTATGGATCTGTGGATCAATATCCATCTGACAGGAACCAGGGCTTATGTAGTCTCACTGATCATCTTAGATGACATGCCAGAAGGATTAATAGGTATGGTTATCAGATTATGCTCTGTGTCCAATCCCTGCCTCCTACAGGTTCTATGACGTATTTAACATATACATTATATAGCTGCCTGCTGTTTGAGAGCACATCATATACTGTGATGGAACCATAGAGGCATAAATAATACACAGTATATATTAAAAAGTAAAGGTCATTTAGCTTCATTTACTTGATCAGTTGAAATCCTAAGACAGTACATCAAGAGCATCCAATTTGTTCTTTATCCCCTGAGAAATGGTTCTTTTGCACAGACTTCCCCATTTCAGGTTAAAACTATCCATTCTTTAACTGTGATCTCTGTGCTGGTTTGTTTAACTTTCTTTTACCCTCAGTAAATAAATTACAACTATTTCCCTCAATTTCTTTTTCCCACCTCTCATCCTACCCCTCCTTCCTATTTCATTTTTTATTTAAAGTTTTGCCTATTATGAATATATTTTTCCAGTATTTAGAATTCCAGAATTAGAAAATACAAATGCATAAAGAAAATTGTACTCTTTAACTCTTTAATCAAACATGTTACAGATATATATAGTTATGATTATTTTTATTTATTTTATTTATTTTTTAAGAGGTGCCAGTATTCCTTTTTTTTTTTTAGATTTATTTATTTATTTATTTATACAAGCACTGGGTACAGTCAGAAGCGCGGGAAGGTGAGAGAATTCACCAGAGTCAGAGCGGTGACCAGAGCAGGCAGACTGACGCAGTACACTGCTGAGGGGAGCACCGGGCAGCAGGAGAGGTCTGCCTGCCATGTGGGACCCTCGCTCGGTGGCCGGGCATCGAACTGGCGCTGCAGAGGCTGTGGGCAGCTTCGCAACCTAGCGCTCAACCGCTGCGCCACCAGGAAGGCCCTATTCCTAGATTATTTTTAAATTCAAATTATGAATCTGAAGTAAATCATGCTAGCATACAATTTTAAAACCAGATTTTATTTTTTTTACTAAAATTACTTTCTATTTCAATTACTATGTCAATTACAAAAACCTACACATTTTTCAAAAACTGCTCTTTTTGAGGTATAATTGATATCCAAACAACTGCACATACTTAATGTATATGACTTGATCAACTTGGACACATGCAAACGATTATAAGACCTTCACCACATCAAGGTAATCGACATACCCACCACTTTCCAGAGCTTCCTTTATTTACACAGTCTTTTCAGGGTCATAAGTGACTGATTCCAGGTATGGAACTGTGATTTATTTAGCTAGTTGCTGAGTGTTGGCAATTAAGTTGATCAACATTGTTTACTGGAATAGAAAGTGATCAAGTGTGTATATTCTTGTATGTAAATCTTTGTGCAGTTGGCTTAGTGTTCTTTAGACTACTCTTATTTCCAGTAGGATGTTTGTTTTTTACTACTCTACTGTGATATAAAAATTCAAGGAAAACCTGGTCTTATAATATTCGATTTTACTTACAAGAGAGAGGATGATGTGAAACTACTCGTTGATGGTTTCTTTTGCTGAGATAATAGTTTTGGATTATACCTAAGGCTGGGTAGCTGATGTCTCAATGAGATTAAGCTGCTGCGCTCTTTTTTTTTTTAATATTATTTTGAGCAAAGAAAAGAGTTGAATCTGGCAATATTCATCAATTCTTACATTTCTTGAAGGAGATACAGGAAATGTGGGCCCTATTGGGAAAGTGAAGTGATACAGCAAATCACTTTGTGATGTAACAAATTAAATTAGTAACCAGGAGGTCTGGGTTGATCTCAGTCCTACATTCACATTTTGTGTCACCTTAATTTCCAACCACTAACTCATGAAGTTGATTTCCTGCAACATTTCCCCATAGATCTGAAAATTTCAAGAGATATTTATTGCTGCATGGAGGTATGAGGAGCATTTTATTTTATTTTTTAATTTTCAAGATTGAGCTATTAAATTTTGAACTGACCGATTTTCTGAAAGTATTTGAGATTCAGCATTCAGAGCTCAAATTTCTCAAGGGTTAGCAAGTGAAATTCATTTACACCTTGTCCTTGAGTTTCTTCCTATTTATCTCCCACCCCCTTTTAAAAATGAAAGCAGTAAAGCAGAGACCCTGGCACTTAAAAAAAAAGTCCTTTTTATGTTCAGTTAGAATGCTGGGCTACACATTTATAAGATTCACTCCTTGTCTTAAGGTTCTACTACCAGTTACTGTTCAGCTCATTTCTCTACCTCAAAGATTCTAACTTCTTTCACTTTGTACTAAATAAGCTCCCAACAATTCTGGAAATTACTGTACAAAAGTACAGTAACCATGTACAAAAGTACAAAAGTACTTTACAAAAGTAAAGTAACCATGAATGTCTATACCAATATAGTAGCATATGCAATGTCATATGAACTTTCAGGGCATTCTGTTATCTGTTTTGTATAAGTATTTCCATGAGATTGTTCAATACACAAATTATACCTCGCATTTTAAAATTTAAGTATTAATTTTATTAATGTGAGACACAAAAACTTGGTTCTAGTCCAAGTTCTTCCTTTTTTATAATATGGAATGCTTCACAAATTTGCATGTCATCCTTATACAGGAGCCAGGCTAATCTCCTCTGTATCATTCCAAATTTAGTATGTGTGTGCCAAAGTGAGCACTTCAGTCCCAGGATTTTTGAACCACTTTTAGTTTTGTTATATTAGAATAAATTTTTCAATGAGTCATACTTATTCAACTGAGAAATGAAGTGCATTGTAACATTAAAATGAGCTGCTTTGGCATGGAGTTTTCTGAAATCATTAAAAATAGATCTACCATATGATCCAGCAATTCTACCACTAGGTAGCTACCCAAAGGACATGAAAACACAAATTAGAAGGGATATATGTACTGTTATGTTCACTGCAGCATTATTTACAATAGCCAACTTATAGAAGCAATCTAAGTGCTCAAAGACAGGTGAATGGATAGCTATGAAGTGATTATATGTACACAATGGAATGACAGGTAGCCATATGAAAAGAAGAAATATTGCCATTTATAACAGCATGGATGGAATTAGAAAGGATTATGTTTTTTTTTTAAAGATTTATTATTTTATTTATTTATTTATTTATTTATACAAGCACTGGGCACAGTCAGAAGTGCGGGAGGGCGAGAGAATTCACCAGAGCCAGAGCAGGGAACAGAACAGGCAGAAGGACCGAAGTACACTGCTGAGGGGAGCAGCGGGCGGCAGGAGAGGTCTGCGCACCATGTGGGACCCTCCTCCGGTGGCCAGGGAGCAGCCGGGGATCGAACCGGTGCTGTGGAGGCTGTGGGCAGCTTTGCAACTCAGCGCTCAACTGCTGCGCCACCGGGGAGGCCCTAGAAAGGATTATGTTAAGTGAAGTAAGTCAGAGGGAGAAAGACAAATACCAGATGATTTCACACATATGTGGAATATACAGAAACGGGGGAACAGACAAAACCAAACCAAAACAGCCCCCTGAACTTTGATTGCAGAAGTGAGGCTACCAAAAAGGGAGGAGAGAGGAAGGGATCAAAGCAAGGAGGAAGATCCAATAGACTATGTCAGAGGATTTGGGGGACTTTGTTGGTTGGTGTGGTTGTGACACCATGCATTTATAAAAGTCTGAACCTATGCCCCTAAAAAACATATACAGTGTTGTAAACCAATGTTATCTCAATAAGTATAATCTTAAAAATCAGGAAATAAATGGAAAACCCCCTAAAAGAGGTGCTTTAAAGTTTAAGTTAAATAATGTGTGGTAATATCATAGAGTTTATTGTTATGTTCCTTTGAGAAAGCATTGAGATGACCTAAAGGAGATGAACAATTAGAGCTGTTTTTTAATCTGAGCAAATATAATGAATTATGAAAACTTTAATTTGTAACTGAGGAATAAATTGAATCCCTCCCAGTCTGGCATTAACCCCATTAAGAATATTGACACAATCAGAGACACTATACACAGAGAAGTCAATTTAACCAAAGTGGTATATTAAACAAAACATGTGAAAAAGTATATTTACACTTCACTGATTGTATAGATAATGTAAAATCCTCTTAGAGTATTTTGAATGCACATAGTAAAAGAGTCAAACTTTATAATTATGTGTGTATGAATGAATCTTAAGTATTGTACGTTGAGTTCCTCCCCCACCCCAATTCTACTCTATTTCTAGCTCATAAAAACATCTCTCAAAGATAAAATAGACCTTGCTAGGTCACTAAACCATCTAACCCCAATATGAGTCTTCTGACCTCACTACATATACACCCTGCCATTGTTGGGATGATTTCAATGATTGGGAAATCACTGTCTGGCTTTAGCATTATCTGAAGGAAAAGCTCTTATCTCGAATGGTAAACTCAATAACTTCCTCCTACACGATTATGCACTGACCTTACAGGCCAGATACTAACTTTTTTTACCCTGACAGCCCTCAAAAACCTCTCCATCTAGATATCCTCCCTACCCTACAACATCGCAGTGAGTTCAGCACAGCACAAATTCTAAGTCTGTTTTTGCAAAGAAAGAGAGAGAGAGAGAGAGAGAGAGAGAGAATATGGATGTGGTAGTTGCGTTAAGTGACTTTAAAAAAATTGCACGAATCAATCAGTCACAGCCAGATTAGAGAATACCCTTTCTGACTCCCATTTAAGAAATTTGTTCTCGAAAATCACTGATTCTTAATTGTCAGGTGTTTTTTTTTCCCTATGCAAGAAAGCTATATATATATATATATATATTTTGGCTAATTCTCAATCTCAGTAATTTTAGATATTTAATAACTAGGCAATTCAATCCCATCGACTAACTCATTTAGATGTGAATATAGCAGGATTCCTTCAGTGTCCTCACCAAGTGATGAGTTCAGTTTATGGGATCATGCTCCACTTGGTTCTTTAAGTATTTATCATTCCATTGAAGCTTTCACTAAATGGTCTTGGATACTCTAAATCACCAGATTAAAAGTGACATGATTTTTTTTTTTTTAAAGTTACCTCTTTCCTTTTCTCTGTGTAGTGAATTTTACTTTTCTGTGTGAATTTTTTTTCCAAAGTGGACCAACTATGATTTTTCCACAGTGTTGTTTGCCTTAGAGATTTAGATAGACTAGCTCAGGGAATATGGGGCAAAAGACGTTATTTAATAATATTGTTATAAAAGAATATTGGTTCTGAACTACCTTACCATAATTATAAAGTTTTAGAAGGTGTCAGATAGACCTGTTAAGGGTTCTCATTGGAGATTTCCTTAGGTATTTTGCTTTCTTTGCTTTATCCATTTATAGAAAAAAAGAATACTTAAAAAAATCTATAAGGAACTTAAGAACACAGAAAACTTTATCTTTCCCAAATTAATCTATCAGTAAGAAATATTCCTGAAGAATGACTATTCTAGAGTTTCAGATAGTACTCAGTACCTTTGTCTCTAGCAGCATAAATTTTCAAAAATGTTGCAGAGGAAAATATAATTATATAAATTTCATTGATTTTTATCCCTGTCCTGTCCCTGTTCATAAAGATAAGTTCCTGGTCCTGAGCCTTGACTTAGTTCCCATAGTTTCAAGCTTGCCATGAACTTGCACTGTATTCTTGCATATGCATGCTTTTTTTCCCAATAAGAATAACTTCCATACTAAAACTATTGCACCTTTTCTATCTTAATAAAAGTCTAATTTTCACCTGCAATCGGTGGTTCCTCTGAGGTTCTTTTGAGTGAACGTGGACATTGTCCTTTCCATGTTAAGGGTTAGGGGCTCAGGGCTGGAGAGACAGGCTCATCATAACTGATAGGACTGTTATTTTGCACCCAATTGCCAATTTCAAATCACTGCTTTTCTGGTTTCTGATAAAAATCTTCCATGATTCCCATTGTTCAATCTTCTATGGTTTTTTGTTTCTGCCACCTATTGCTTGGGTTTCAAGAAAGAAATAAACATCTACCTTAGAGCATGCAAATAAAACAAAGATAGATTTAAAAAAATTGAAAAATATGAAAATCTTTGGTGACATTTTCAGTGAAGAATTTTTCAGTGATTCATAGCCTTCCACTTCATCCTGAGAATTATTATCATTGTAGGAAATGTGAATATTGATGTAAACGGCTCATAGAATATACTAAAAATTGAGTTTCTTAACTTTGCTCCCAATGAGCACAAATTATATTCCTCTTAAAGCATCAACTCCATTATTATAATTAGGATTTTACCATTACATAGGATTACTCAATCACTGAAACCCCAAACTCCAAGACACAATCTTGGACCATAATCTCCCAATTTCAATTTTTTGCCCTAAATGCTTAGTCCATGGCCTCATCTTGATCTCCAGTCTACGGATTATCTCATTCCTCCCCTATCATTCTTTCTGTCTGATGTGTGTGTGTATGTCTGTATATGTGTATTATGTATATTTTAAAAGACATTTGTAAAATTATATATATACTTGTAAATGCATATTTATAAATTATATTCCCCCAAATATATATATTTCTACAAAAAGAAAATGGGAGAAAGGGCAAAAGAGGAGGGAGGGAGAGAGATGTGTGTGTGTGTGTGAGAGAGAGAGAGAGAGATAGAGAGAGAGAGAGGCAGAGAGACAGAGAGAGAGAGGCAGAGAGAGAGAGAGGCAGAGAAAGCAGAGAAAGCAAGAACATACAGGTCTTTGCAGTGGAATGAACAACTCCAAAATGGAAGTTGGCATAAAAACTAGAGCCTGTGGGAAATATTTTAAAACATAATTCAAGTAGCACTGGGGAGAGGAATGGAAAGGCCTAACATTTTATTGACATCTTCAAGTCTCCAAAGGTCTAACTGTGAGTGGCTTTTGCCAGATACATAGGAAAAGCTCCCCTACCCCCCACTCCTAGTCAGAGGGATTGGCTGCATTCCACAGCCCTCAGCCTGAAGGGCTCTAGTTCTCTGCCAGCTACCTTCATTCTGCTCTTGAGGGCAGCCCACTGCAGGGTGCTGCCTGGCATGTAGGGTCCTTCTTCTTGGCACTGTGAATATGTGAATAAATCGCTGCCAATCCAGTCTGTCCAGTGTGGAGTGTTGTGTGCTCAGCCATCCCCAGAATCCTAGAGGAACCTCTCCTCCCTCCCCAGTGGGGTGAAAAGGTGGCAAACAAAACTGTGAGTGGAACACTTAAGTCATTCATTTGGGCACACATACGTGCAGTGTGTGTGTGTGTGTGTGTGTGTGTGTGTGTGTGTGGTGTTTGGAGAAGACAGAAGTGCTGTAAATAGGGGAGCAGATTAGAGGGAATTCTGGTGAGAAAATACATAATAAATAATAATGGGAATAGTGGTAGATTGGATTGGACAGCATCTCAATTACCTTCAACATACTGCGATTTTAAGCGTCTTTTCTCCATATTTGCCACTTTAAATACCCCAGCTACCAAAACCTAAAATAAAATTCCTATGCATAACCATTTATAACAGCAAGACCATTTGTTTTAAAGAGTCTACAGAATAGGAATAAAATGTTGTGGGAGGAGTGACCTGGCATTCAGAGCAAACTTTTCCATCTACTGGCAAGTGAGGGGGTTACTTTATAGCTTTCTGACAAAAATTTCTATTAGTGTTTCCCCAAATTTCCCCTCTCCCAACTACACAAATAATCTTCATGTCTCTGTGTGGGGTTTATTATAATCTGTTGTCTTCTATATTACATTTATAGAACTCTTTCCTATTACTTAATAAGTGTGGAATAAATACTGACTGAATGATAGCCTGGATGTCATAAAGGAAATAATAGTAAATTAGCATAGATTGTGACAGGTTCTGGTTTTGGCCCTCTTATTACCTAGCTAGGTCTTGAAAATTCTGCCTCATATGAGTCTCAATTTTCTGTATAACTTTTATTTTATTATTATTTTTTTAAAGGATGTGCTTTCTTTTCTTTTTTTTTCATTTAAAGATCCATTCATTTATACAAGAGCTGGGGTACAGGCCAGAGATGAAGGAGGGTGAGAGGATTTACCAGAGACAGAGCAGAGAATAGAACAGGCAGACGGACCAAAGACACAGCTGAGGGGAGCAGTGGCGAGACAGGAGAGGTTTGCTACGCCATGTGGGTGTCTCCCTGACTGACCAGGAATCAAACCCGCGCTGCAGAGGCTGAGGACAGCTTCACATCGCTGTGCTCAACATGCTGCACCACCGGGGAGGCCCTGTAAAACTTTTAAAATGAAATGATTATAATTATTTAATAGTTTAATTTAATTATATAATAGTTTAATTTATTGACAAACTGAGGAAGGTAGCAGACTTGTGTCTGAAAGACCCTGTCCTACTCTTTGACAGAGTGCAGGGTTATCTATACAAAGGAGTCAAACAAAAGGGAGATGGGCAAGAGTCTGCAAAGAGGAGATAGGAAGGGTTGGCATGTCCTTTCTATGCAGGCATGTGGAGATTTTGGGTGGGCACCAGCTTGCTTTGTCAACACATGCTGTTTAACTTCCTTTTCCTTAGAATGCAAGAAGACAAACTTGTTAAACAAACAAACTTGTTAGGGATGCTTATCTGGTGGGGCAGGAAGAGAGACCTGTACATCAAATGTATGAGCACGATGCTCTCTAAAGTCCTTCCAGCCTATGTCTTTCATTTTGTAGCTGTGTCTGTGAGAGATACTTACCACAAATACCAGCAAAGAGAATGGTGCTGTATAGTAATTACAAGGATGGGTTTTGAAGTCATCAGTTCTTGGTTTGGCTTCACTTATCAGATGAATGATTTTGGGACAGTAATTTAATCTTACAACTCCTTAGTTATCACCTCTGTAAAATGGGGATATCAAATAGTGAGGCAAAATGAAGCGTGAGAGCTTTTTTTTTTTTTTAAATTTATTTATTTATGCATACAAGAGCTGGGGCACAGGCCGGAGATGCAGGGGCGTGTGTGTGTGTGTGTGTGTGTGTGTGTGTGTGAGTGAGAGAGAGAGAGAGAGAGAGGATCCACCAAAGTCAGAGCGGGGAACAGAACAGGCAGACTGACTGAAATACACTGCTGAGGGGAGCAGTGGGCGATACAGGAGAGGTCTGCCTCACCATGTGGATTTCTCCCTGGCCAGGCGGGGATAGAACTCATGCTGCAGAGGCTGTGGATTGCTTCATAGTGCAGTGCTTAACTCCTTGCGCCACCAGGGAGGCCTAAAGCTTGAGAGCTTTTAACAGGTTCCTGGCAAATGTTCCGCATTCAGTTAGTTCTTCCTGGGGTCAAAGTTCCTCAGTTGCCTGAGGATTAGTGTTGGAAGGAAGAAGAATCCTTAGAGTGTTCCCTAAAATGTGATAGCTGTGTTCCTGAAAATTTGACTGGGATGGAATGCTGTTGGATATGTAATGGATTTATGATAGACCTTTATTTATAGAGATAGATGGAGGAGAACATTTCTGCCTAGAATTTAGCTACCTAATCTGGTATTCATTGGCCTTTCATACATATGAAAGGGACCTATGAATTTGTATTTACATGAAAAAATTTAAATTTATAAATATTTTTTCCTGGGGATAAGATTTTTCCAGTAGCATTTATTTAATTTTTATTTCCAATGCTGCTGTTGTTTTAATTATCTTGCTTGTATTTTTTGTACTAACATTGAAATTTCATTTGGAATGCCATTTTTAATAAAAACATTTGACAGTATGTTGTTTACATTCCAGATCTTTGATTTTGTTATCTTTTCCTACTGAATTACAATTTTGTTCCTGTATATAATTAGAACAATACTCAATTATTTATTATAAATTTCTTTTGACTCATTTGTCACCAAATATATGACCAAGTTTTGTCATTTCCAATGTCTGCTTGAAAATAATGAGATAGTGTGACATCTTTCTTTTCTGTAATTCTCTGTATATTTCCTTGTTTGAACTTAATTCTATGGGGGGACCCAACCCAATCTCATGAATCCTTCAAAGATGAGAACTTTGCCCAGTTAGAGAGAGAAGAGCTGAGGAAAAAAAGATAGGAAATCTGTGAGAGACTTGTCCTGCAGTTGCTGGCTTTGAAGGTGGAGGGGTAGGGAGGAGGGACATGAGCTGTAGAAACTGAGCTTAGAGTCAGCAAGTAAATAGGACCTTGGTCCTACAACGTCAAAGAACTGAATTCTGTCAACAAGTCAAATGGGTAGGAAATAGGTTTCCCCCTAGAGACCCTAAAATCATCCTGCTGATTTTAGCCTGGTGAGCTGAATGTCAGACTTCTGAACTACAGAACTATAAGAGAATAAATTGTGTTCTTTTAAGCTGCTAAAATTGTTATGGAAGCAATAGGAAGCTAATATAAGTAACTTTCAAAATCCCATCTTCAGAAATGTCCAATTATGAGTACAGAGCAGAAAATTATGATTGCTTCCTTCCTGGTGATATTGTTCTACCATCTTTTTATCCTTAAATATTTGTCCACTGCACTGTCTTATAATGACTATACTCTTGTAATATTCTGAGCCCAGTCTTAAAACAGAACTTCTTCTACTTGCTCTTCTATGATAGAATTCATGCCAGTTCTTAAAAGTGTCCTTTTTTCCTTGCAGTTAGAAGGTTTGTGCTCTCAGCCTATCATTTTGGTTGTGACCTTGGTCACTATTATAACGGCTTTTTTTGACCTTAGAGATGCTTATTTTCTTCACTCTTTGTAGAGTGCTTGTCCCCATAGCACCTGCTCAGTGCCTTTGTGGACAGAGAACAATTTCACTCCTCATACAAACAAGTGAATCAGAAGATGACATTTAATACCAATTGAACCAGTCATATCCCCTTCCCAAGAACTTGGATTTTGAACTGGGACAATTTAAAATATAGATCTATACGAATTCTACACAAAACATATTTAAATATATTCAATAATTTGTATTGATTGAATACATATCTGTGATTGAATATATATATAGGTTTCCCCCTACTATCAGAAAAGTGTTCTTATGAAACCTTTCATAAGCTGAAACATGTAAAGTGAAATAATTACCATTAATTCACATGGAAATTTTTTTTCTCATTCTCAGATCCAAAATATAAACTACCAAATCATACCAAATAACGCATGAAACCTAAAGCCACAATAACATATTGTCAAAGCAGGACTGAGATGCCCATTCAGCTGTGTGCAGGGGTTCTGGCGGCTCTAGTGTACGTTGCTGCAGAGATGCTGTAAAACCCACGTGCAACGCTCTTTTGCTTTTCGCCTTGTCGTGAAAGCAGTAATCATTTTCAGATTTCTTTCATTAGCAGAAACACCTGCTGACGTAGGGCTTTCGTCAGATTGAAGTGGCCTAGTGCGGCCTTTTGAAGAAGAGAACTGGGGATTCTTGTGTGGATATTTATGAACCACCGAAGCGCCCTCCTGGCTGTGTGCACCACCACGTGGAGAGAAAGTGTGCAAAGAGGAATGAAAAGCAGGTATGTGTGCGCCGCGGCTACTGTGGTCACCAGCCTCCACAAACTTGGTGTCTTCAAGCAACACTGATGTGTTTTGTTATATAGTCTGGAGGTCAGAAATTTAAAATCAGATTCCCTGGACTGAACCATTGGTGTCAGTTGGGTCATGCTGCAGGCTCCAGAGAAGAAAGAATCCATTTCCTCTACTTTCTAGCTTTAGGAGTCGTTCTTTCCCTCCTGGCCTTTTCCTTTACCTTCAAAGCCAGCCAGCAGCATCGTGTCTCCAACTCTCTTTCCACTTCCATCAGAGCTTTGCCTTCTTTGGGATGGAAAAATCTTTGGTTACAATTGGATCCACCAGGATAACAGTATAATTTCCCTATTTCAAGATCGTTTCCCTATTTCATTCACACAGGTGAGTTCCCTTTGTCGTATCAGGTAATGTTCACTGATTAAGGGAATAAGACCTGGATACCTTTGGGGTCCATTATTCAGCCCACTGACAACTTCTTGTGGTTCTTAAAAGGATTAAATTTGATCTATATGTATGTAGTGGGCGGGAAGGGACACAGGACAGATTTTCTATGATTCTATGCAGACGGGGTAAAGGAGGGGAGAGTCCTGGAGCCCTCGGAGGCTTTACAGGCTTTTATTGGAATTGCCAGGTACACAGCAGGCAGTGGTGCTGGGGGGCCGGGAGGCTGCCAGTCCTCCCAGCCCCCAGCAAGTCTTCGCTCTATCTGGGCTCCCCGGCGTTCTCTCGTGGCCTGTTCTCTGCCGTTCTGTTCATTCTCTCTGCTTCTCTCGTGGTTCTGCTCTCCTCATGGTTCTCTCTCTGCTGGCATCTCCGTGAGGCCGCCCTTATTAGCCCAGTTTTAGCCCAGGTGAATCCCATCTACGTATGCCCACACCCTACTCCAGGTGCCTGCCATCAGGCATGCATTTGGGACCACAGGGTTCCGTCATCTGTCCTAATGGCGGGAGGGCAGAAAATCCTGATGCTTTTTACCTTACCCTACAATGTACATGTTTAAATACACTGTACAAACCCAAGGCAGGTTACTCCTCTACCTTAATTTTTGTTATTATTATTTTTATGTGTTTTAAAAGAGTAACATAGAGACCGCATGACCCCAGAGAGGGTGATCAGTTTAGAGGGAAGAGAGCGCCTGCCTTGGTTCCTTAAGGATTCTAGTTCCTGTTTCTTGTCCCTTAGTTGGTGTTGCTATTTCTTACCTTCTGGGGTTCCATGTGTCACTCTGTTATACTAAAGACCTATTTTACTTAAGCTAACTTGATTAGTTTTCTGCTTTTATTTTTCTCCAACCAAATGAATCCTAGACTATTCATTCTTTTGTATATGATGGCCACATCAGCCAGTTGCCATAGATGATCAACCCAGCCGTAAGGTCCGTTCTATTTGGTCTCTTTATTGGTCCTTTCTTTGCAACAATCTATTGTGATTGCATCCTCATTTGCCCTGGTCTGCAGGTGTTCTAGGTTGTTAAAGCAGGCAGTGAACACTTTTGGTTTCAGAAAAAGTGGGTAACTTCCAAGGTTAACCTCTGTCTCTCCTTGTAAGTTTCTTCCCCTTCACATTTTATGAGACAGGGAGGTGCTAACATAGATTAGGGTTCACATGGCTTAAACTTCTGCCACTCACCTGGGCTGCACTTTGGGACAATGCTTAATCCCTGTGAACTTCAGTTTTCTTATTTATAAGGAAATTAATACCAGCTCTCATGGTTGTTAAAAGGATTAAATGTGACCTATATGTACTTGTTTTAAATACACTGCACAAACCCAAGACAGGATACTTCTCTTCCATGTTTTTGTTATTTTTATGATTTAAAAATTATGTTTATTGGGGGTAACATTGATTTACAACACTATGTTCAGGGGTGTGGGATCACACCTCTACAAATGTATGTTACCACATTATGCCCACCACCAATGCCCCATTAATCCTCCATCATAGTCCATTTGTTGTTGTTGTTGTTCTTTATTTAGCTGTCAGAGATGAAGCCAGTCATTTCATAGCATCTGAAAAGTCTTAGTCAGAAATGGTCATTCTTAATGACATATGGCTGCCTATTAGAGACTAACTGGCTAAGTTTACAACAAAAATAAAAAAGAATAGTATGTTTGGGTGATGCAACCAGCAAAAGATATGGTCTTCCTGCCCTCTAGGAGACAGGCTAACTGCTTTGGGGTAACTGAGGTTGTGTATAAAATGTCCCCAAATGACAAATCACTGAGGAAGAAGTACACAGGGGTTTGGAGGCAATAATCAGCCCATATCAGGGAGATGATAACAATATTTCCTGTTAGAATAAGCATGTACGTAAACAAGAGGACCACGAAGAGGGAAATCTGAAGCTTCTGGACAACTGGGAAGGCAGTCAGGGTAAATTTAGTCACTGTGGTCTGATTTTGCGTGTCCATTACATGCAACGCTGAGTGGGCAGTACGTCTCTGAAAAAAAAAAAAAAAAACAGAGATGAAAATCAGCTTAAGTGTTTTTGTTACAGGCCCTGACCCAAAAGCTTTCTAGGGAAAAAATTCGCCACAGAGCACTAGATGTAGTTAAACCAGGCAAGGCCTTATTAGAGAGACTCACATAGAAGTGAACCATTTCTGGAAAGAATTTAGCCTGGCTGCCCAAGGGAGTTATAACAGGAGATATTTAAAGGTAAGTTAGGGAGATGGGGAAGAGGAAGGCAGCTCACAGCCTTTTCTGGGTTGGGCTAGCCTGGGCATGTGCAGACAGGTCACACTGCAACTGCTTGTGGTCTCTGCCTTCTCCCTCTAGAAAACTGTGAAAACCCCATTAGTCAGGAACTAATGCTTTTTGTCTACTGTGGTGCCTCATGGTCAGTGTGGTGGCCAAATTGTTTGGATGGCACTTGCCAGTTCATGATTCAATTTACCTCTTCAAACAGGACTTGGAACAACTCATCCTATCGCCTGGCAATTTCTTTTATCTAGGTTGTCTCATTTTTAACACTATCAATGATAAGATGAAGTAGTAAAAGTTTTGTGTGAAAAGTCAAGAATGATTTGTTTTCATCTCACCTGTAAAGCTAATAAATGTAGGACCTTGGATAAATTGTAGGAGTTCTTCTAATTTCAGTATTCTCAAATTTAAAATTTTTTTGAATGAAATTATCTTCACAATATCATAAAACTCTAGTCTTTATGATTTTATTCTTTTTACATATGCTCCTTTCCTCCTCTCTTTTACAAAGCCTAGTTTCCCCAGCTGGCTCTGTGTCTGAGAGACATACATTAAGCATCCAGTCAGTAAATTTGGAAAATAGAGGAAGGGAATGTTAATAAAAATTCAGTTGTTTTTCTCTAAGTTATTTCAGCTTCTCAGGTAGTGTCTAAATCAAAGAGCAGAAACTATGAAAACTGGTCAAGATAGTGAGATGAAAGGGAATCTGTATTTGTCTTTACTCACTCTTGTTGGTATTGTATTAAGCATCAATATTAATATTTAGTTGGAGATAAATTATTTTGATGTGATAATAATATATCTCTTCAAAAGGCTGCAGTTTTTCTTTGTTAATTTCTGTAATCATAATGCATTTCTTGGTGCCTATGCTGTTACAAAACAAAAAGGTCCATGATATATGGTTCATAATTTGCATAACCTATATTTTTAAATAACTCTTTTTAGAAAATGATCAGAGTTTCTTCTCTGTTCCTTGCAGTGAGATGTCATTGGCAACATGTTTAAGAATAACCCAACTTTCCCCTGCTGTTCGCCAAATGATTCTTAACAATTTTTCTCAACAAGTTTCTCATAAATTATATTCTTTTTAGTCATTTGAAAGTCAGGTTATTAATATCAGTACAAAGTGTTTGTAGATAGATGGTTTCGAAATGCTCAGCTTGGATTTTGAATACTGCTAAGTTTGCTGAACATCTATTTCATGTCTATATAATTCAGTTGAAGCCTTATCCTTTGGTATATTATTTTTCTGGAAAATCCTTTAATTTTAAGTAAAAGTTACCAATTATAACCCTGAGCTAAATTCTTTTTCGGCTTGAAACCCATTCAGTTCTTTTATAAAGGTCATTTTCCCTAAAGGGTGTTGTTATTCTTAGTGAAATAAGTCAGATGGCGAGAGACATATGGCATATGATTTTACTCATGTGGTACATAGAGAAACCAAAAAAAAAAGGAATAAAATAAATAAAATAAAAATAAACTTTTAGACGAAAGGCCAAATTAATGGTTACCAGATGGTGAGGGGAAAAGGTGGATGGGTAAACTGTGTAAAAGGGGTCAACTGTATGGTAAGGGAGAGAATTGAACTTTTAGTGGTAAATTTAATGTTGTATAGACAAGTGTTGATTTATAATCATGCACATCTGAAACTTATATAATGTTATAAGGTAATGCTACTTACAAAAAAATAAAGGAGGTCATTTTCCTCAGGCTTTCTGTCTGGGAAAATTAACTCCTAGCAGCTGTGTTGTTTTTCTTTCTTTTTCTTTTTCTTTTTTTTAAAAGATTTATTTATTTATTTTATACAAGATCTGGGGTACAGGTCAGAAGCGTGGGAGGGTGAGAGAATTCACCAGAGCCAGAGCAGGGAACAGAACAGGCAGATGGACCAAAGACACTGCTGAGGAGAGCTTTGGGCGAGGCAGGAGAGGTCTGCTGTGCCATGTGGTTTTCTCCCTGGCCAGCGGGGAATCGAACTGGCACTGCAGAGTCTGCGGACAGCTTCTCAGCGCGGCGCTCAACCACTGCGCCACCGGGGCAGCCCTATATTGTTATTCTTAGACTTTTTTCTGATGGATTTTCTTCAGGCAAGTTAATTGTGACTTTTCTGGTTCCTGTTGTGGCCACTTTATTGCTATTCACTGCTCCTTTATCCCACAAATCCCTTATTTATGTTATTTCACAAGAGTTTTGTCTTCATCTCTCTTCTAGGCATTTCTAGGTTGTTAGTGAGTAAATTCCTTTACAAATGCATAGTGCTTTCCATATACCTGAGAGTAATTGTGAGTTGAATAACTTGATGTTGTTGAATTTAGTCATCAAGGTTTTTTATTTTCTCTGAAATCCAGACTCCAGTTTCTACATCTATTAAATAAAAAAGATTACGGTCCATCTATGAATTCCTTTCCAGTCTAAATATTTCTTTTGTTTCCATGAAGGTAGGCACCCTATCTATTTAGCCCCCATGCCCATTCTTTGAAAAGAGAAGGTACTTATTTGTTTATTAAATAAATCAATCAAATTCACAGAACTCCTCTCTTAAGCATGAGGTTGCATCTATCCCATGATTAACCAATGGTTAACTGTTGTCTGCATTCTTGTAATATCAAGCTAGACTTTTTTCATAACTTGAAACTTTTTGGTGTGTTTCACCTTTTCTCTAGTTGTTAATTTGGGGTCTGTGTAATTCTGGATAATTGATTACTGTAATATTAATGCTGAGCATGGGAAAGGGACCTGTCCATTGGTCTCCCCCAAAAGTTCAGATAGACTTAATGTGCCCAGAGTAGATCTCTTGTTACCTTGGAAACTAGAGATCAATCAAGATGCTGTGAACCTTGGGAGGTCTATGCAATGACTTAAAAGATGCAAATTATTTTGAGTTGAGAGCAGTGAGGGTCCTGGAGGCTAAGGAGATGCTTTTGTCCTTGTCTGCATCCTTTATCTCTGATTAATTAAGGAAGCGATCATTACTTCCTTTTTATGAATTAGAAGAATGTATTTTGGGAGTATCATCCAGGTATAAGTTTATCAGTAGAAAAGTGGCCCTTCTATATGTGAATCTCATCTTTATTAGAGTAAAGATGTCAGTCCCTCCTTGTTGTCATGTGAACCTACCCCCATTCCCCTGGATGCTGCAGGACCCTAAACAGAGTAAATATCCCCAATCAGCTCTATTATTCTTTAATTACGTTAATTTTTTTGCATATTTACTTTTTCTTTTTTAAAAATTAAATTTGTTAGTCATTTAAGTGTCTGTATAACTTTGGGGTTATGTTTTCACTGTTTCATGTGTACACAGATATTCTTTAAAGTTTACAATCATATAAATTTTGCTCACATTACATTATTAAGTTTGCTCTTCTCTCTTAGTAATCTGTCTAAAGTTAAATTTATTCTCTTCCCAGGCTTAGATTAACACAGATGGGGTGGGGGAAATTTCCCCTGCATTCTAACAGACCCAAACACCAATATGCCTAATTGATTAGGTCTTTTAGGGTTTAGAGATAGGGTCACAAAAAGTGTAAAATCTAGAATAAAACACAGCTGCTTACAATAGCAAGGTTTTTGTTCCATTTCTTCTAGTAATCTTTGAAACTGTTATAAGGCAGTCTATTTAATCTTTTAACTTATCAAAGTGTAGTGATTCAGATGATGAGGTTCTGTGTGGGAGGGTCTTGGGTCCTTCTGAGACAGAATTAAACAGACACATGGCAGGTTTATTAAGGAAAAGAGACACGTGCATAGACACAGGTGGACAGTTTTAAAAGACAAGAGCTGCATTTTGGAAGGATTTAAGAAAGGGGCACCTGGATAGACACAGGTGGGCAGACTTAAAGAGTAAGAACTGCATTTTGCCAGAACAAGGAGTGTTCTTTCATAGTGTTCATGGATGGAATTATTGTGGATATTATTACCTTGGGGGTCAGGTTGGGTTGGTTTTTTAAGATCAATAATCCTCTCTGCTTCCATCTCTGACTATTAATTCTGACCCCACCTTAGATTCCTGGGAAATTCTGTAACTGGGTTTAGTCTTAAGATTCATTAATCATACCTACCCCCACCTCTGGTGTTTGTCCTTGTGAGACCTTCCATCCTAAATTTTTCTCCTCTAAGGTTCCATCAAAAGGACTCCAAAGGGCCTAATCTATTGAAATAGGACCTTGGTAACAGCAGGTGTCCTTTCCAATACAAACATTCCAACATTGACTTCTCTCACTACTCATGTATCTAGATAATAAACTTCCAAATGCTTAACTACCGCACAAAAAGGTATAACCACATCCAGGTAGACAAATATTAATGTCATCAAGAGCGAACTATGAATAGAATACAGCACACTATGTAGATAAATGGAAATGTACTAAAATTCCCTTCCATTTCCCCCTCCCTGCCTTTGTCACTGACACACTGGGACTTGATAGGTATCTTAAAGCAGAATAATATGGATTCTCATGCAGTTGCCTATTTATTCCATTTGTCTAGTCACTCATTTCACAATATTCATTTTCCTTCCTGTCGATAGTCTTTGATGGCCCCGATGGAGGTTTGATTTCCATCTGCTAATGTAAAAGTTAAACAGCTTGGAAATTTAAAAAGCATCATACCATTTTTTAACAACAAAACTCTGGGATGGTCAAACACAAATAGAGTTGCTGCTTGCTATGTTGCCCCAAGGATTATGTAACCATGGAAATAATGGTATTGGGAGCTCTCTGATCTGCCTTATTTGGATCAAATATACTTTCCTGAGAAGAACCAAAGAAGTAGCATTGCTTTCCTTCGTGGAATCCCTTAAGTTCATGGCAGAAATGAAGAGGGCTTTGTGGTAGTCTTTTCTAGATGGTCTTGTACCCTTAGAAGCCCATCATGTCTAGGAGGACAGGTTCTGGACCACG